GAAAAGTTAAATGTGGTGAAATCTGAATGCCAGATTGAATACCAGATTTAGGAGTTTGCGCATTTATTCTATAGATAGCAGGAAGGTTGAACATTGTGTAACAGAAGCATAACATAGGGGTAATAAACACTAAGTATGCAGGAAGGACTGCATTAGGGACTGGAGGAGGGGTGGTGAGGAAGAGGTTGAAGGATAAAGGAAAGTAAGCCTGCACTGGAGTGCCAGATCAGAAGAGTAAAGTAGGGATGATGAAATCTATGTTTTTAAGAAAAAATCATGAAGATTTTTTGTTATGTTTTGGGTTTGGAGAGCAAGGGAAAGCTACTGAGAGGGTGGTCTTACCCTTTGGTCAGAATAATGAGAACACTGCTGATTCTACTGCCAATAACAGAACCCTGGCCCTGTGTGGCAAGATGGGTGAGGAGGCATTGAGGGTAGATTACAAAAAGTTTAATTTTAAGGTAATTAAGTGTCATTGTGATGTCTTTAAATAAATGTCTTAAAATGGCCTAAACTAAAATGATGAGATTTCAGGGTGATTAAAAGCACTCTGTCCCTCACAGTTTTAAATGTAGGAGATATTTTGAAATCTAAATGTGGACAGTATTCCTATTTATTGCTTCCTTCTGCTCCTATATATGTTTTATATGAATATTTAAGGTTAATCTTCTTTCAGGTGATTTATTACTTGCCAGTTTTTCGCATTTTGTGATATTATAATGTCAAGACGTCTTAATATCATTTTTAAAAATGTCTTGGAAACAATAAAACTTCTACACAAATAATATTATGAAGATCATTGCATGTAATTCTTTTACACGTCTTACATCTCAATACCCAATAGGCCTGTTACGCCTATTGAGATATTATTATTATTATTATCAGTTACAGAATGTTTTATAATGGGCTTTCACATCACATTCAATTTGATGTTTATAGTAAATCTTCCAGCATGACATTTTTATTATAATTACTTTTGCTGCCAGGTTTTGGGGTGCTGGAGTCTCCTTGCAGAAGTGGTTTCTAGCTTCTTTCTGTCCTGAGCAATGAATTGGTCAAGACAAGCACAAAGGGCAGCAAAGTTTCACATTTATTAAAGATAGGGAAAGAAACAGTCTCTGTAGAGAGAGTTCAGGCCAACTAAAGGTAAGAAAAGACACTTTATTTCCATTTATTCATTTTCTCATAATTTTTTCTTTTCCCTTAGTACCTTTCCCCTGCCTTTCCCACTTTCCCTACACCTTTAGCCCTTTTCTTCCTATTTCACATTGTCAATTATATCATTAGGCTCTTATGTACTATTATAATTTTTCATACCAGAGAAACTATTCAGTATTTACACATGTGTGACTTATTTCACTTAGGAGTATATCCTCAATATGTATCCATTTTCCTATGAATGACTCTAATTTCTCATTCTTTATGTCTAAGTAGTATTCCATTTTATAGAAAAACCACATCTTCTTTATCCAGTCTCCAACTGATGGGCAAATGGGCTGTTTCCAAGTTTTAGCTATTACAAGCTGTGCCACTATAAACATAGGTGCACATTTATCACTGTGGTCTGATTCTTTTAATTCTTTTGTAAAGATACTCAGCAGAGGGATAGCTGGGTAAAATGAAACCTCTAGTCCCAGCTCTTTGAGGTATCTCCCTATTGATTTCAACAGTGGTTGCACCAGTCTGCACTCCCACCAACAATGGAGAAGGGTTTCTTTCTCCCTACAACCCCGCCAACATTTGTTATTGGTTTATTTCTTCATAGCAGCCATTCTTTGTAGGATAAAAAAATGGAAATAAAGTATTTGTAAATGGGGAGGGTAGAAGGGGGTGAAGGGAGGGTAGGGACAAGGGGAAAAAATGAGAACCAAGACCTGTCATGTAAAGATCCCAATGATGAATATAACTATATTGTATACCTAAAATGTACCAGTAAACTCAATGAGAGAGAGAGAGAAAAAGAACATTTCCAAAGTCAGAGGTCTTCACCTTAAAAAGGTGAAGTATCAACTCATCTTGAGGAGCTACATACCTAATCCGTTATTCTCTATTATAAAAACACATTTTCTTTCTGTTCATGTTCTTTAATTATTTTGTTTGTAGTCTTTGTCTATCTCAGTCTCAACCCTTAAATACAATCTCCATGCAGGCAGAGGGCTATGTCTCCCCTGTTTACTATGTTATTTCTGGAGAATTTACAGTGGATGGCCTCTGAGTTGGCACTTGGGAGAGGCTAATAAAAATCCTAGAGCACAGATATAAAGAGGTCCTTTCCTCTACCAAACCCAGCTCCTGTGAGAACAGAGCCTTAAAGATTCCAGAGAGGAAAATTTTGTATTTTTGTAAGAAAACCAGCAATTTGATTGGCAGTAGCCTTCATATCAACATCACTGGATAATACAAGATAATAGAGCAAATCTTTAAACTAAGACAAAAAAAGACTTAAAATTCTCTACCCAAGTGCTATGATGGGTTTTGTTGGACTCCAAGAGGTTTGTCCTGGAGGCAGGTCCCAAGTGGCACTGTTGGAGAGAAGCAATCTGTTACAGGTGAAATTTAGGGGACAGTAATTAGGTCAGGAGTCACCACCCTTATGCGTGGGTGAAAGCTGTGTCTCTAGAATGTCGGTTCTGGTAAGAGTGGACCATTTGCAGTGAGAAAGGCTGTTGACGAGAGAGCATGATCCCTCCCTGCTCCCTGCTTCCTCACTCACCTACGTACTCCTTTGTGTTCCTGTTGGGTTCCCTTTCCATTTCACAGCAGGCCCTCAACAGGGCGATGGTGCAATGCTGTTAGGACCCTCCAGTTGCCCAAATCACTAGCCAAATAAACCCTTTTCTTTTATAAAGTTAAAAAAAATGGTAAGAAAAGAGTTGCACTGTACAGATCATAGGGTTGGCCATTGAGAGAGTTTGCAGTGGCCCTGGGTTGATGGCGGCTGCCTTTTGTATCTCCCACTCAGTCTACCATCAAATGTAGGCTGTCCTGTCAAAAACCTGCTTGAGGGCTGGGGGATTTAGCTCAGTGGTTTTGCTGCCTGCTTCCAAAGCCCGAGTTTGATCCCTGGTACTAAACAAACAAACAAACAAACCTGCTCGAGTACTCTGAAGAAATGTTTGGTTCCAGGTGTAGGAATTTCTTTTTATTTTTTCTATTTTTTTTTCCTCATTGAGTTTATTGGTACATTTTAAGTATACAGTACAGTTACATTCATTATTGGGATCTTGTACCTTTACATGACAGGTCTTGGTTCTCATTTTTTCCCCTTGTCCCTGCCCTCCCTTCACCCCCTCCTCCCCTCCCAGGTGTAGGACTTTCAGAACTGTTCCCTGGGCATGTGGCCTGGAACTTTGAAATTGACAGGCCACACTCTAATCTCCTGCCTTTCCATTTTAAAAATGAATAAAATTAAGCTCAGTGAGGTTAAGTGACTTTGTATGGTGTTTTTTCTTTTGAAATTTAAAACATTTTAAAGGTCCATGGAACGCCCTAGCATTCTCTGATGCAGACTCTAGGGATTCACAAAAATAATTCACTGGTTGGGAGAAACAATGATTATTTTTATTTTTAGAATTTAAAAATAAGATAGCAGTTAATTTTACTAAAACTTAGTGATTAGACTGCCCTTCGAGTGTTTAAGAGGTTCTTTGACAGATGGCTGTTTGGTACACAAAGCATCTCTCCTCTTTTACTCAGTGAATTGTGTCATCAACAGTTGGGTATGTGTCCAGTTACGAGGACTTGTAAATTATATTTGTTTGTTTCTTTGTGTGTATGTGTGGCAATCAAAAGTCAAGAGGCACTCTGCTTCTGAGCTATCTCCCCAGCCCTTTCACTTTTGAGACAGGCTAAGTTATCCGGGCTGACGAACCTGTGATCTTCCTGCCTCATCCTTCTAAGTAGATGGAATTATAGGTGTGTACAACTATGCCACCATTATTTTTTAGTGTAACTTCATTTTCTTTTTCATGTTTATTCTTTATTGTTAGGAGGGATGGCTATTTCCATATATGTGCAATATCAAGTTTATATTGCTGCATTGATTTTATTCATTTCCTTGATTCTATTTACCTATGTAATGTAGTCCAAAGGTGGTAATAGGGAAACACATTTTAGGTTGTAGAATCCGTAAGTGACTTCCTCTTTGAACCAAATGTGCAGAGATACACTCCTTCTATTCATTATCTGAAGGGTTTTGCCATGTGATGATTTAAATTGTATATAGGATAGATTTTTAAACAAACTAGACTCCTTATTTAAATTGCTGTATATATGATTGATTTTTAAACAAACTAGACTCCTTAAAATATACAGACAGAGATTCCTGTGCAGAAAATGCCTACTGGAACTGACTAACAATGTTTAAGTCAGCAAATGAGAGCAACACTCAGTCTATGGCTGTACCACCTTGAATGCACCCACTCTCATCTGATCTCGGAAGCTAAGCAGGATCCAACCTGGTTAGTACTTGGAAGGGAAAAATGACACCTGCCATTTCCCTTGCTCAATATGTGAGATTCTTTCAATAAATTGCAGGATGTGATGACATGAAGAACAATTGGCCGAAATGTTTTATCAGTTCTGAAAGACTATCTAAAATATAAATATACATCCATTGTTAACTATTCATGAACTCTCATGTAAAGTACATTTTTTTCCTTGAATTATTGGCCAAGATCAACATGCCGTTTTAATGCTAAATTAGAACAGGAATATATGCTAACTCTTTCAGCAATGTTCGAAGTCACACTCAATGCAGTGCTTTGCACATTGCTGAGAGCCTCCTTTAACATTTTTTGTTTATACAAAAGGAAGTTCTTCATCCTGTCACACTAAAATGAGTGAGGTAGTGTACCCCAAATCATTACAAACCAAAAAGTGTGAGAAGATGCTTAGTAAATTCCAAGGCTCTGAAAAATTTATTTAGAACAAATTTCATACTATGGGAGGCCATACTACAGTACTGTTTCACAAAAGTCTAAGTTTGCAGCATTTTCTAGATTCTATTTCAGAAATGAAGCCTGTGGAGACTTCCAAGAGATAGTAAGTAGCAACAAATCAGCACCTTCCAGATTCAGAATCCAGACCCTGGAAAATAGCAACTTGGGGAAGAAAAGAAGGAGCAAGGTGGATCTCTGGGTCCCAAAATGGATACAATGAAAAAAATTGGAGACTACATGGAAATTGAACAGATGGAACATAATGCAGAAATAGGAACGGGCCATCTACACTTTCAGCCTAGCTTGTGGCTGGTGGCTTGTGGCTCGTGAGAAAGAAAGATGAAATCTACAAAGACACACTGAAAAGAGGCAACTCTAGAGGTCTTCAGGGAAAAATGCAGCAGCAGAATTGACCAGTGAATGCTGTGTGTTACAACAGCTGGCAAGTGACTGTAGTTCAAGCACCTGCCACATACCCTGGAGAGATGCCATCCCAGGGAGGAACCAAGCAGCAACAAATCACCATCTTCAAGGGAACCTAGAAGTCAGAGCAGCAGTGAGTTGGCTTGATTTCATGTCTTCTACTCTGATTTACACTCCCACTGTTACTTTGTGAGAGACAGTCAAGGTAGACATCAGTGGTAAGGGAGCTGTGATCAGACTAACAAGAACACTCAGTGTTTTAAACTTAGTAACCCTGGTCCCATCCTCATGACCAAGGGTCAGGTTCGACCAGAATCTCCATGGATTTGAAAGACCCAGAATCAGCACCCTCACCTTAATTCTACTGCCTGCTTGCTAGTGACTATATGCAGCACAGACTTGGGCTCTGACTACCTTCTTTGTCTGCCAGTGGGAGGAGGGTTGCCTTGAACTGGCACTACCACAACACTATGGACCCTGGAAGATAACCACAGGCCTGAAATCACAGAGAAATGTTTTTCATTTTGGCTTTCATTTTTTCTAAAATTTATTGTATTGTTTTTGGGGTTTTTTGTGTGTGAGTGTGAGCATTGTTTGTTCCTTTTGTTCTTGTTTTGTTTTCTTCCCCTTCTATCCTTCCCTCTTGTCTTCTTCAACAGCCTCCTTGGGCTTGGGTTATCTTTCTTGGTCCTTCCGCCTTGCTTCTAATCTTCTTCTTTTATTTCTCTAGTTTTTCCTCTGTCCCTTTAAAATTTTCTCCTCTAAATTACTTCTTAGTTTTACTCTATATATTTTTTGTTTTTTTCCTTTTTTATCTTCTATTCTTTCCCAGTTTTTTGTCCTACAATTACCTAATTCTATAATCATCCTTCTACTCCCCAGTGGAATACTTTGCAACTCTACCCTCTCCTCCTTTTCCTGTAATAGAATTTAAGGTTTCCAAGTTTTTCTTTTGCATCTTCATAGTCCCAAATCCTAAATTGTTAATAGTATAACCATAAAACTGTTAATCTTTTGAAAATTAAGATTGTAAAACAACTGCTTAATTCTTTTCTACCATTAGCAGAAATATAGCTATTGCATTTAGTACATATTAATGGTAGGTCAACATCTGAGTTGCTTTAATGTTTATATAATAATTGCCAGTTTCTTCTCCAGGACAAAGGTTGGCATGTACATAACTGGTTCTTATATTATGTTTATATCTAATTTGTCTCTGGTGATACCACTGTAGCTATTTCACTTGAAAGTAACAGGGTCACATAATTGTTACTGTTTCTCTGGAAGCTAACCCTCAAATTGCCTTTGTGACCATAACAATATTAAAGTACAATTCCAAAGAACTTGGTTACTGAGTTAACTACAGTGTATCCTTCTTTCTCAAAATAACAAAGGTGGTCAAATCTTGGGGCTGACAAAGGATTTTACTTAGCCACACAGAAAGTACATCACTGAAAAGCAACTAAATTTCTATTCTAGCAACAAAACTTTTAGACTACAAGCATCCACAAACACTACCATGAAATAAAAACATTAGAAACATGGGAGGACAGGCAACAAAACACCTCCCCAACCTCCCAACTCCCCTGAAGCTAATTCAGAGGGTTTCAAGGAGTAGAGTAGTATAAGTTACACTCCTGAATTACTTGAAAGCATAGCGAGGAGGTTAGAAAATGGCTCAAGGAGATACCCAGCAAGATTAGAGAAGATATAACTTAACAGATAATGAAAGTAATAATAAAAAGGATGCAGGAGCTGGCAAAAAACACCAATAAACAGCTAGATAGAGCTAAACAAAATGATACAAAATGTAAATGACCAGTGTACCAAAATAGTAGAATCCATGTAAAGGTTTCAAATAGAAATCCAGGAGATTAAAAACCATATTGAAAGTACAGGCAGCAGGATGGGCAAATATGACTACAGAATTTCAGAACTAGAAGATAATGATGTCATCAAAGACCAACTCTTCTGGGCTTGGGAATTAGCTCAGTGGCACCATGCCTACCTCGCAAGTGCAAGGTCCTGAGTTCTAACCCCAGTACAGGAAAAAAAAAAAAAAAAAAGACCAGCTATTCAAAAATACCTATAAAACAGTAAGAGAAAATGCAAAATGGATCCAACAACTGTGACATGATGCACAGAACACTAAGAATAATTGCAATAAAAGAAAAAATCAAGACAACATAAGTGGCACAAAAAACTACTCACAGAAATAATAGAAGAAATTTTTCCAAATATAGGGAAAGAAATGTACAGAAAAGTGAGACATATAGAACACCAAATAGCCATGACTGAAAGATAACTTCTTGCCATATTCTACTTTTTAAAAATCAGTGAATTGAAGAGTTGTTCTCCAAAAGATTAAACAAGATAGAAAAAACCCTTAGCCATCTTAGCAAAATAAAGAAAGAAAAGACCCAAAATTAGAAATGAAAAAGGTAAAATCATAATGGATTCTGCTAAAGTTCAGAAGATTATCAGTAAGTACTGCACTCTAAAAATAGGAAATTCACAGGAAATGGGTAAGTTACTAGATACTTATGAGCTATCAAAGCTGAACAATGAGCCTGCCCTGCATCAGCTCCAGCAGAAAGAAGGTGGAAGATGGAGATCCCAGACAGCTGCTCAGAGATCCATTCTCCCTCCGGCCTGCCTGGGCCCAGTCGGTGGGGACTGGATAGCCATGCACTCTTCTGCCTGCACTGCCATCAGCTCCAGCGGAAGGAAGGTAGCTGCTTGGGTGTCCTTGAAACACCCCCATCCCAACCCACCCCCGCCTTCAGACCTCCTGATTGTGTCAGTCCTTGGATCCACTCTGTAGGGGCATAGGTGGTCATAAAGGGTATTTTTCTGAGCTCCCAACTTTGAACATCGTTGAAGGGCAGAGGGAACCTGTAGTAGAACTGTGTGGAGTTCCACCCTGCAGGAGGTCAGGGAACTCAGTTTGGGCCTCGCAGTTCGAAATAGATCTGAATCTCAGGGGTCTGCTGTTGGCTAGCTGAGATCAAAGGATTTAGTTCTGCATATGGCTATGCATGTTGTATATTATGACAGCAGAGATATAGTCTGAAAGAGGCCCTTTAGAGTCTTTTTTTCTTTCTTTTCCTCATTCCACTCTGCAAATTCTTTTTTCTGACCTCTTTCTCCAACTCAGTCTCTTGCTCCACCATATTATCCCTCATCTCCCTTTCTGTTTCTGCTCCTGCCCTAACTCAGATTTCTTCTTTTATCATTTTTTCTTTTTAGTTTAGGTTCTTTTCTTCTCTCATTTTACCTCACTCAAGGGTCAATAGTTTCAAAGGAAAGTGAGCCCCTATTACTGTTAAATGGTTATATTCTTGCCTTTGTTCTTGCACTCTGTCTTTCCCTTTTGAATTTAACAGTTTCCTAAGGGTTGTGTGGTCATTCTGTGTCCTCTGGCTTCACTTGAAACTTTCTCCAATTCTTTTTCTTATCTATTCCTCTCATCCTAACTCTGTCTAAGCCCCCATCCTAAATGGTAAAGATGCTATATTGAAGAGTTTATTCACTGCAAACATATTTTGGGCTGTTTCTTGATTTTAATTTAATTCACATGGTTTAAAGGTGATAGATTAATGACTACCACAAATGGTCAGTTTGTAAGTTGTGCTTGACCCTATTGTTTTGCTGATTGTATCATTTGGGCTAAAGGATTGTGAATGATTTAAAGAGTCATTTCTCTGATATTAAGAAAATGAGAATGTCTATAATTCATTAGAGACTCAAAAGCTAAAGTGTAACTATATCAGCAAGATTTCACTAATAACCCAGAAATTAAATGAAGGACAACCAACAACAAAAATAAAAAATGAGAAAACACTGAAGCAAGACACAAAGACAGACTTCCAGTGCACCAATGCCAAACAGTATGGTAAATGAGGGTGAAAAGTCTGATAGTGAACCACCAGAACACCCTGAACTCATAACACAGGAAGTAACAAAACAGACCAATCAGGCTCTAGAAAAATTCAAAACAGAAATAATTTCCCAGATAACCATAGAGATGGTGAGCAAAATGAAAGTCATGATAAGAGACTCTAGAACAGAAACTGACAAAAATAAATAAATAAATAAATAAATAAATAAATAAATAAATAAATAAATAAGCGAGCTCAGGGCCATGACAGAAGCCATGAAGGCACAGCATAAGAAAGAAATGGAAATAATGAATGCCCAACATAGGAAAGAAATGGAATCCATAAAACAGATTCAAACAGATATCCAGGAGATTAAAAACTCTATTGAAAGTATTCACAGAAGAATAAAAGAATTTGAAGAAAGAATCTCAGATGTAGAAGATAGGATTGCAGTCAGTGACTGAGAAAAGAGAGGGCTCTTAAAATCAGTAAGGGATCATGAGAAATTGATACAACAACTCCTAGATGATGCAAAGAAGAATAACATAAGACTAATAGGAATCCATGAAGTAGCAGGAGAAAATACAAATGACTTAAAAAAGCTGTTCACAGAATTGATGACAGAAGACTTCCCAAACAGAGGGGAAGAATTTGACATACAGGAAAGTGAGGCATATAGAACTCCAACTAGCCACAATAAAAACAAAACAAAACAAAAACCTACACCTAGACATATAATAATCAAGATCCCAGAAATCCAACAGAAGCACAAAATACTACAAGCAGTAAGAGAAAAGAAACAAATCACATACAAAGGAAAGCCCATCAGAATCACAGCAGACTTTTCAACACAAACCCTCAGGTCAAGGAGAGCCTGGAGTGAGGTATTTCAAGTCCTAAAAGAAAACAACCTCCAACCTAGACTGATGTATCCTGCTAAACTCTCTTTCAAAATGGATGGGGAAATAAGATATTCCATGACAAAGAACAATTGAGAAACTTCATGAATACCAAACCAGCACTATAAGGAACTCTAAACAATATCCTAGAAAAAGACAATGAAGGTCACAACACCATGAGGCCAAACAGACCAAATGAAATAGGAAAGGCAAGAAACTAAAAGGAGAGGGGGAAAACTAAAAAGAGTCAACAAAAGGACAATAACACGACAATAATAAGTCAGTACATATCAGTTATAATCATCAATGTCAATGGCCTCAATTCACTAATCAAGAGAAATAGACTGACAGAATGGACTAAGAAGCAAAATCCAACAATATATTATATACAAGAAACACACTTAATGCAAAAAGAAACCCATAGACTGAAAATGAAAGGATGGAAAAACAATTCTCCACATGACAGGAGCCCAGAAAACAGCAGGCGTAGCAATCTTATTCACAGGCAAAGTAAATTTCAAACCAAAACTGATTAAGAGAGACAAAGAAGGCCACTACATCCTTGTAAAGGGAACAATTCAAGAGGAAGAGGTGACAATCATAAACATATGTGCACCAAATATTAATGCCCCCAACTATATAAAACTATATATTAAGTAACATGAAAAACCAAATAAGCACTAATATAATTGTAGTGGGGGATCTAAATACCCCACTTTCTCAAATAGACAGATCATCTAGGCAAAATAACAAGGAAATACTAGAACTGAAC